TGAGAGTGTGTGTGTGTGTGTGTGTGTGTGTGTGTGTGTGTGTGTGTGTGTGTGTGTGTGTGTGTGTGTGTGTGTGTGTGTGTGTGTGTGTGTGTGCCAGCCCTGTTTGACCACATCTCCCCTCTTTTTTCCCTTGAACAACATTTGTGCTCTCTTGAACTTCATTTCACATTAACTGTCTAGATTGCAGCTTCTGTGTGCTATGTTAACTCCACCAAATTCAAACTTCCCCCAGTATGTTTGATGCAAATTGGACCAAATGAACCACAGCTTATAAATGAGGCCAACTTATGTTCTGATAGTGCTCAAACATGTCATCATAGCAAATGTAATACTAACAGAGAGTTAGTGATGGAGATGTTGTTGGTCAGACCATATTTCAGCTTGACGATGCCTCGCCAATTCACATTCCAGTGAAGTGTTGACAAACTCCTCGGCGAGGTTTATGATGCTCTCAGTCAAGTTTCTGACTTTGAAGAAGGTTAAAAAAATGAATGAGGACATTTTGAGAGGCATCGACAAACTGCACTCAACATTACAGGCTTTAATTTGACAGGCTTACTTACAAAGACTCACATTGAAGATAATGGATGCAGCAAATAATAATGCGTGCCTAGTGGTGTAATTCATCACTGAGGAGCCAAGCAGAAATATATTCTTCTCTTCTTGCTTTTTGTAAATCATGCTTTCACCAAGACAGGAGTTACATCATAGATGAGCAGAGGGAAAGCAGCTTCAGTGGATTGCCCCAGTGTTTCCCTGTCATCCTGTGTTATATATTTCACATACTGGCATCCCTTTTCTCCCTCTTCCTCCTCCCTTATAATGCTTGCTCATGGGGGGATGTTATGTTGGGCCTTAAGAGAGAACGGTCTAGACCTGCTCTTAAGGAAAATAATGTCTTGAAATAAAATCTGTTATGATTTGGCGCTGTATAAATCAAATTACTTGACATACAGTACCGCTATTCTTTCTTGATTTTCCATCCCTCTCTTTCAGTCTTTCGGATGTTTGTGTTTTCATTCAGCGTTTCACCCTAAATGAATTCAAATGAATGGAGTACAGCTGTAAAATAGGTTTAAACTGATAATCAACCAACATTACATGCAAACACTTTAAGTGGGAGCAACGGATGAAAGGCAGCTGTGACAGTACAAGTGCCATCAAAACAAATGAAATGAATGAAGAGCGACGTTCCTCCTCTCGTCTATATTCATTGTAAAATCAGCTTTCTTCCAGTCTCTTTTCTCTCTCTCTTTCATATGCTTACACCATAATGTGAATAGTTTCCTTCCAAAATATACTTTCATTTGGGCGTTAATTCTTTCCAAGGGTACATTGTGGGTTTTTGCTCGGCAGTCTCTTTTTGTTGTTTGAAAAATGATTGACGCCTTACTTTAGATTATCTTTCAGTGACATGACGGCTTATTGCGGCAGTAATCTTCCAAACAAAGTGCCGCGAGGGACTAAATAGAGAAAAACATTGTGGACGCGCAAAAACTCAGTCTTTCCAACAGTATGCGTTTGACCTTTTATTTCCAAAGCAAAACATCCATATCCATATGCGTAGGGCTATGTTCCTGCGTGCGTGCGTGCGGTCAACAAAAATTGTCCTTCTCCAGCTCACTCCCGCTCCATCTATTACAAAGTGCGCAGGTAAAAGCAACCCGATATAACCACAAACGTCACCACACAAATCCAATGACACGCCCACCACCTATAGTGACTCAAAAACATGTACCGTCACAAACACAGATAAATACTTCAAATGTGTCTCCTACACAGCTCTTAACATGTTATGCTGCCCAAGCACATGTGGTCTGCAGACACTGCTTGTGTTACACACGCACAAACACACGCAGCACTGCAAGTGGCTGTATCTGCACCTTGTTTGTTATCCAGCACAGTCTAACAAAGCTAGATGCTCTCTTTCTTCCCCTTGGGTTGCTATGACGCTCCCACCATCTATTCCCCAGTCTCCACGGCTCCAGAGGGACTTCCTCATGTTGTTGTCTCCTTCAGCTCCGCTCTCTTCCTCCTCGTTTCTAACTCTCTTCCTCCATCTGTTCTCTCTCCTCTCCCCTCCCCATATCTTTATTTCCATAGCCATCACTTGCAACAGCAATCTGTCGCTCTTTTCTTTTCCTCACTTACATACAGTTGATGCTGACAGGCTGTTTCCTTCAATAGAAATTTGTCATGCCTCAAAACTCCCCTCAATCTTTACTCTTTTTCTACAAGGCTGCTTTATATGGATAGCAAAGAGCTGTTATCCCGGGAGTGGATAGTTAAAGATCGTACAGAGATATTGCACCCATTAGCACACTGAAATCATGATATCATGTTCTCATTATTGAGTTAAGTTTTGCTAAACTCAATCCATTTAAACATTGTAAGAGCATGTGAGTGTCCTGTTTGAGCATTTCTCCGTGTATGTGTGTCTGCAATTTGCATTCATATGCTCTTTGATGTTTGTGTGTGTCCCATGCGTTTTTCCTCATTTCCCTTGCAAATAACCAAAACAAAAACCTGCATTAGTGACTGATAATGTGCTGTGTATTTCTGACTCCACTCACAACATGTAATCTGAGACAAACGGCTAACCTGCATTAGACGGACACCAGTTGTTTTTATGAACTGTTGGTGTATTCCAAGTTGCCTGAAAATTCACCCTTAAAACATCTCCTCCCTCCTTTGCTCTGATTTAGGGATTGATGGATCAATAGAACACATGCCTCTCCCCTGAGTTCACCTACTTTATATCTGATATTAAAGGTGGGGTAGGCAAGTTTGAGAAACCGGCTCGAGATACACTTTTTGTAATATTCCATGGAATGCTCTTAACATCTCGATAGCAATGAATATCTAAAGTGCTTTGACAAAAAATCCATAATCTGTGGAAGCCGTGGCGCTGTAAAAAGCATGACCAATCATTTTAGCCGGCCCGGCTAAAGTAACTGGATGGCCTACCTGCCTGTCAGCCTTCCATCTGTGCACAAACTTATCTCGTGCCCTCATTGGTCATGTGCGCGTTCGTGTGTGTTGGAGGAGGGGCTCTGTAAGGAAGTGGCAGTTTTTTTCCGGTTGTGTATTTTCAAATTCTAGCGCACTCGAGCTGGTTTCTCCAAAATTACCATCTGAGGGCCGCAAAAAGAGGAGGTGGGGGCCGCCCGCGGGTCGCCATTTGCACATCCCTGTTGTACGTAATATAATTTAACGGTTCAAAACTGTGGCGTCTTCCACACAGGTTGTCAATATCTGTGTCTCTTAAAGGCTGGCACCGTGGGATTTGTAGTCCTTTATAATCTATTGACTACAGAAGTCGCCACGAGGTGACAATATTTGGCTTTTTTCGCAAAAGCAAAGAAAACTTGCTCTAACAACACCTTCAAATAAAAATAAAGTGCACTCTGAGTGTATTTGTGAAGTGAAACAAAAAACCGAAAACCTAACCTGTTAAGATATCTCGTTTGTTCTGCTGCTTATAGTTCTATCAGTTATAGACATACACTTGGAGCAATCTGGGATCAAGTATCTTACTGAAGGACACATCGACATATTGACTGCAGGAACTGAAAATCAAACCACAGGCCTTCTGATTGGTCGATGGCTACCTCTACAGCCGTTCACTCTCTGCCTATATGATGTTCCTTTTTCCTTTTGTTCTATTAACCAACATTTAAAACTTACATCTGCATTTGCTCTCCTGTGTCTTCCAGAACATCATAAAGAAGGTGAACGGGCAGAAGTTTGTGTATCGCTTCGTGTCCTATCCTGACATCTTGAAAGGAGACGTTGCCTCCCGGACAGAGGGCGGGGAGGTGGGTGCTGAGGGGGGCGTCCCTCCCCTTTTAAAGAGGGGAGACAGCACCCCACAAGATGGAGAGCCTGGTCTGAGCTCCAGCTCCAAGCAGTCGAACCGAAACGACTACATCCACTCTGGCCTGTACACCTCCTTCACCCTCAACTCGCTGCAGAACGGACGCCAGCTCTTCAAGTCCATCAAAATAGAGAATCCAGCGGAGAAGTTAGCGGACAAACGAGGAGTCGCTGCGTCCGCCCAGAACCAAGAGCTGTCTCCTCCGCCTCAAACCGCTCTGCCGTCCGTTATAAAGTTTGGAAACACGCCTCCAAAGCCAGCGCCGTCCCCTCAGGTTTCCGTAGAGATGACCCTGATGTCCAGCCACTTGGGGGGCGAAGACATTCACACCATCTCCTCCCTGCCGTCTCACTCCGTTTACTCCTTAGAACACACCCGCCCGTCAGCAACGACGTTCAGCATCCAGGAGCTGACCTCTGCCAGCCCGTCCCCCAGCCTCGCGCCCGACTCCTCCCAGGAGCTGGTGATCGACATCGAGTCCGGATCGTCTCAGACTGCAGACAATCAGGCCCGGGAGAAGGCACGTATGCATCAGAATCAGAAACAGTTTTATTACCAGGTAGGTTGACACGTACGAGGAATTTGACTTGATGTCATGGTGCGTACACTCAGGCACAGGAGAAGGCTAGTATACAGGGGAGACACATCTCAAGAGTCAAGGCTTTTCTTGTCACGTGTGCATAGCTACAGTGTAGATATGTCAATGACAATCTGAGGTCACAGGCTCCTCCAACAGTGCAACACAATGACACAGATACCAGTGTTTCCCCTAGGTTTACTGCTTCTGGGGGGGTGCTGCCTGAGCGGGGGGGGGGGGGCATGGGATATATATTTTTTAGATCCTCTGGAGCAGAGGAAGGAGCTGTGATTTATTGTTATTGATTAATGTATCAGTGTTTTCTTAGGGTCAAAAACACTAAAACTCACAACTTAAAATGAAAGCGTTTAGCTACTAGAGTAATAGAGCACATGTTCATGTGAAAAGTGGACAGTAGATATAATTATTTGCAATTTGGTGACTATATATATTATTTATATTTTAAAAAAAAAAAAAGAAGAAGTTTTTTTTAAAACCTTGAATTTCAGGGGGTGCGCGGGGCTCCGTTGGCGGGGGCGCTCCGTTGGCGGGTCCGTTGGGCGGGGGCTCCGTTGGCGCAGCGCCCCTCCAAGACAATGGTAGGGGAAACACTGGATACAATAATGCAAGGTAAATAGAATATAATAGTGCAAAATAGTTGCATCTCACACAATGCGGGTTCCTTTAAAGAGAGATAATTGGAACGTTACACTGAAAAGCCCTGAAAATGTCTTTCAATCGGCTTCTTTTGGGGCAAAATGTTCGGCCAAGATTATTCATTTACACGATAGAGAAAGTGCAGGAATGTAGGTCCTTCAATCAGGAAATGTTTAGGGATTGTTAAAGGGCACAAATGGCAATGATTCTTTACGTTTCTTGACTCAAATATAAGTTTCCTTTGGCTCTGGTCTACCACTAACTCATCAGCAAATTCTAACTACCAAATATTTTCAATATGTTTCCCCAGCGTAGTCTCTAACTGTGTTTTCCTGCTGTTCAGTTGCTGAGTGCACATGAAAAACAATACATTGCTATGAGGAGCGATGACGATTAAACCAATTACCTTCAAGTCTGTGGCCGAAATAATTGAGCTGAACAGTTTGCTCAACATGGACAATGCCAGTGTGCTTATTACGTTATGCAAATTCATTCTCGATTATTCAATATTATGTGGGTTATAATTCTTAAAGTGCAATACACATAACCTCTCCACGTTTTTCCCGGCAGGTGGACAGCGGGATGGGTTTTGTCGGGAGATGAGGGGGTGACCAGTTTCATGGACGCTTGACACCGCCTCCTCGTCTCTGAGCAGCAGCAACACGATGTGCATTCTGGAGCGCCGCAAAGGCACGCAAACCTCCCAAGATCCTGCCAGATCAGCCCCCCCACTCTGGCTGGTCACCACCTCAGACTTTCTCCCCCCCATGAACTCTGCAAGCCCCTCCCCTCCCCACGGCTCCCTCACACCAGCAATGCTACAGGTGAGAGCGTGCACTCATGCTATTTTGGTAGGTTTGATTTGATTATAACAAGAATTATTATAAAATACCAAACTAATCGTGTCAATTTTTTTTGATATACAAAATATTACGGATTCTAAGTTTACATTATTTTAATCCCACCCCTTCTCCCAAAACTAAATGATTAACATATATATGTAGTTAAATATCTATTAAAGGCACACATTTATTACGATACGATAACACTTGAATGGTCAGCATCAAGTCTGAAATGCTTCCTTGCATCACAGTCCAGCACCATGTGTAACATCAACAGACACATCATCAAGACACAATACATGAAACAACAAAACATTTCATGATCAGTGGAAATGGCCATGACATGGGACCTTTAATTCGGCTAATGAGTTGGTAGGCTGGTTCCCCCAAGTCCTTTTAAAAAAAATGGGGACCTTTATCGTGGCAAAATGCACTTTTGATCTCTTTTTAATACGTAATATTGTCCCCGGTGCGTCGGGGAACTACGCACGTCAGAAATAAACCTCTCTTTTCCGTCAAATCTTTAAAAAACGGGGGTACAACGAGGCGGATTATCAGATTTGCGTGCCCATCATGACGGTCATTTCGGATGGGGACCCACGAGAAAATCAGAAACAATCGTGGCCTGACGTTTTGGACGTGGAATCTGCGTTTGTTGTCCATTAGCAAGCCCTCGCTAACACTCAGAGCTACCTGTACTGGAGAAGCCATGTGTTTAACGAAAGCAGGGAAATAAGAATAAAGAACGTCACCTTGTGGTAAGAACGCTGTAAGAGAAGAAGCGCATTTGAGCTGCCATACTGTTTCAGAAAAATCCTGACGTGGTTTAAGAACAGGATAGGCGTTTTATCACAACAGAATGTAACTTTATCTCCGGTTGAATAAATTTCTATCAGGCATCTTAGCTCCGCCTCCTCTAACAGGGCTGCAATTGGGGGTATCTGTTTGGTTAATTTTAAGCAAAAGCACTTCACAGACATGTTTTGTTATAGGTATGGCCCGACAATATATGATTTCTAATTAACCATGATAGCTCCACTTTAAGTTAAAAAAAAAATCCATATCTATCTAAATATTCTGCTGCAATCCATATTTGTGGTCTTCAAAAAAATAACAAATCTTGCACTCCTTGCTTACACACAAAGCATCAAAACTGCGTTACATTCATCACAAGAAAGATGATTTGATAAAATGACACTAATCTTATAACTTTACTCAAATGTCCAATTGTGCTCGAGGGATTTTTCATTTTGGCATGAAGAAAGGATAACACATGACGACACATCCTCTATATCCAAACCTTCAATAGAAGCTTTCAACATTAATAAAAACAAACATTTTTGTACAGCCAACTAATAAAGTCATTTAGCCATTATACCATAGGAGCTAATTCCCCAAACCAGGGCATGGATGCTTCATCTGATCAAGTATTGAATTATATTTCTTTCTATTGAAGGCGTTTCAATTACAAAACCCTTGTCTCTTTCAAATGAACAAGCTCAGATTAGTGATGATCAGAGTCAGAAGCAGGATTATTTTTGACCCAGGTAGGTATCCACACATAGTTAGGAATTTGACTTGAGTCACGTGCCAGACATAAAATATAAAAAACAAGAATCTATATAAAACAAAAAAATATTTTACCACGTAATAAATACAGTTAAATAGCAATAAAAATAAAGCGTAATTTACATGGAAATAGGGATGCTATGAATGAATTTTAGAATATAAATGTGTGAAATAAGAATATGATGCAGAAAGGAGTATGAAACACTGTTGCATTAATGTAATGCCATATAGTCTATGATGTGGCCAGAGGTAAAGTGTCAGCGGGGGGGGGGCGGGCCTTGTTTTAAGAGGTCCGGTAGCTGAGGGAGAAACTGTTCAGGTGAGCGAGAGTTTTGGTCATGATGGATCGCAGAGGGAACAGGTTGTGTC